TGTCTGACCTGAGATGTAGCCAGGGATTATATACAGTGAGTATGTCTGGTCAGAGATGTAGCCAAGGATTATATATAGTGAGTATGTCTGGTAAGAGATGTAGCCAGGGATTATATACAGTGAGTATGTCTGGCCAGAGATGTCGCCAAGGATTATATACAGTGAGTATGTCTGGCCAGAGATGTAGCCAGGGATTATATACAGTGAGTATGTCTGGCCAGAGATGTAGCCAGGGATTGTCTGACCAGAGATGTAGCCAGGGATTATTTACAGTGAGTATGTCTGACCAGAGATGTAGCCAGGGATTATATACAGTGAGTACATCTGGTCGAATATGTAGCCAGGCATTATATACAGTGAGGACGTCTGGCCAGAGATGTAGCCAGGGATTATATACAGTGTGTATGTCTGGCCAGAGATGTAGCCAGGGATTATTTACAGTAAGTCTGGCCAGAGATGTAGTTAGGGATTATATACAGTGAGTATGTCTGGTCAGAGATGTAGCCAGGGATTTTTTACAGTGAGTACGTCTGGCCTGAGATGTAGCCAGGCATTATATACAGTAAAGTACGTCTGGCCAGAGATGTAGCCAGGGATTACATACAGTGAGTATGTCTGACCAGAGACGTAGCCAGGGATTATATACAATGAGTATGTCTGGCCAGAGATGTAGCCAGGAACTATATACAGGGAGTATGACTGGACAAAGATGTAGCCAGGGATTATATACAGTATGTCTGACCTGAGATGTAGCCAGGGATTATATACAGTGAGTATGTCTGGCCAGAGATTATATACAGTGAGTATGTCTGGTCAGAGATGTAGCCAGGGATTGTATACAGTATGTATGACCAGAGATGTAGCCAGGGATTATATACAGTATGTCTGGCCAGAGATGTAGCCAGGGATTATATTCAGTGAGTATGTCTGGTCAGAGTTGTAGCCAGGGATTATATAAAGTGAGTATGTCTGGCCAGAGATGTAGCCAGGGATTATATACAGTGAGTATGTCTGGCTGAAGATGTAGCCAGGGATTATATACAGTGAGTATGTCTGGCCGGAGATGTAGCCAGGGATTATATACAATGAGTATGTCTGGCCAGAGATGTAGCCAGGAACTATATACAGTGAGTATGTCTGCCGAGAGATGTAGCCAAGGATTATAATCTGAGATGATCCCACAAACATGTGGTGCACCCAGCAAATCTGGCTGTTGTGTTTATCATGGATTTCGTTTCTGTATGTTACATGTAGCTCACAAATCAAAAAGGTTGCTCATCCCTGGTCTATTGGCTCTCTAGCTTCCACTAACAGTTGGTCTATTGGCTCTCTAGCTTCCACTAACAGTTGGTCTATTGGCTCTCTAGCTTCCACTAACAGTTGGTCTATTGGCTCTCTAGCTTCCACTAACAGTTGGTCTATTGGCTCTCTAGCTTCCACTAACAGTTGGTCTATTGGCTCTCTAGCTTCCACTAACAGTTGGTCTATTGGCTCTCTAGCTTCCACTAACAGTTGGTCTATTGGCTCCATAGCTCTCCAACTTCCACTCAAAATTGAATGCTTTTAAAATCACAGACATATGCTGATGATAAAATCAATGGAACACTAAAGCAGACAACATTTTTAGCTGTGAAATAAAATGTGTAATGTGTACAAATGTAGAAACAAATTAACATCAGATCATTGAACAAAACTGAAGACATGATGTTGAAGTTGTCAAATGAGTTACACGTGAATATGTATATTTATTCACAATGAGGCTCTTAGACCATTCTTTATTTTAACAATTCTAAATAGCAATATCTCAGTTACTGCCATAAATTCTTGCTC